GGCAAAGCGATCAGCAGCAGCGACGGCAAGAACTGCCAAGTGTTTATCTGCAACAGCTGGAAGCGGTAACGGAGGCTACAAAGGCTTTTGAAGTTGAGTCGACACCAGTGGAGGCGTTGTTACGCGAAGTTGAGCCTGAACTAGTGACGAAAAGAAGCATCCTGAAAAGTAATACTTGTCAAGCTTTCAGTTTCAAATGACTGGAAGAAGAATCTCTTTCATGTGCTACCTGATCGCAGCATGTCTTGCTCCTGGAGATACCTCGACTGACACATCGGACAGCAAGTCTGTGGTGTTCTTAAAGTTCTCAAACTGGAGCAAACATTAGTACTGCTAGCCAGAATTAAGCAAACAGGAAAAGCTGCTGGCAAACATCTATTTATGCACTTAATAATTAATTCGACTGAGAAAAAAAAAACTCAGCCACTGGAGGCCAAAATGTAAGCGATATCGATGCTGGAGAAGTGTGAAGAGAGAAATTTTGGCCGCCAACAATGTCAAAATCGTTGGCGACTCACACGGGGCAGGCCCGTGCGATCATGCGTTTTTTCTGTATTTCGTGCTGTAATGAGTTCGCTCGGAAACCTAGCTGCTAGGATTTGTGACATACTGTCCACGAAGTTTGGGAAGTTAATTATCTACGCTGTACTTGGACAGGAACATTCCGTTAAAATTTCAGCTTTCCAACTTTCTGGTCCTTGATTTAACAATTTCTTTGCCAAAAAATTTCATGGGCCCGTACACGAGTAACACACGTATCCGGGAACTGCACTTGATATCTTTAACTTTTGCAGGGGGCTGGGAACATACCCTTAAAATTTCCTAACTTCCCTACTTCCTGAGTTAGCCATTTTCCCGCCAAAAATTTTACGGAGCCGTACGTGGGAACCACGCATGGCTGGAGCCTGAGTTCGATAATTCTAAGTTGTACATGTGCTGAGAAAGTCCTAGAAAATTTCAGCCTCCCAAATTTCCTGGTTCTTAAGTTAAGGATTTTCGCACCAGGAACCCTCACGGGGTCATACGCGGGAACCACGCATACCTGGTAGCTGAATTTGGAACCTTTGAATTCTATCTAGACGGGGGACATAACCTCAAAACTTCAGCTTTCTGGCTTTTCTGGTTCCCGAGTTAGCGATTTTTCCGCCAAAACTTTCGACCCCTCGTACACGGAGCCCAGACCTATGTGAAGGTTGGCACCGCGGTCATGGGATGACACTTGGCGAGGGAATCCACTGGTAAAATTTTGGCGCTGGAGCTTACTTGGGTGCCGAGTTGAAATATCCGGACAGACGCACACACACATACACACACACATACGCACACGCACACACACGCGCACACACACGCACACACATACACACACACACACACACACACACACACACACGGGGGTCGTCACCACATGCGTTTTAGCTTTTGTGTGTAAACAAAGACGCATGATAAAGTACCAAAGAGCTATATGATTAACAACAGCACAGCACAGATGGTGGGACTGAAGACAGGGACCGGTTCTAAAACGGGTACCACAGATCTCGTGCCTTTTAAGCAGAACTGAGTCAGGTGTGAGAAGCAGAATATACAGTTCTGATCTGTATCAGCTCACCAAAAATACTTCACAGTTGTCATTCCATTACTTTTTGTAAACAGCGTTCACTGCGCTTTACTGAAGTAAAATTTCGTTTTCAGATTCCAAAATTCAAAGCTCACCGGTATTTCTCAAGTCTTCTGTGTCAGTTTTCTCGGAAGCAAACAAATATGTGCATAGCAATCGTGTGACTTTTGCGGATCCCCTTGTTTCGAGCATTTTTTCGATTCCAGCAATAATTCCGGAGGAACAGCAGATAGCGACACCAGCAGCACAACAAGCTGGTTAATTATGGATCTTTAAAAAGCATAGCTGTAAAGGAGATTGGGCTTTCTCGAAGTCAATATGTCGAAGTGTTGGAGAAGGGACCAAATTAATGTAAAATTGACTTCTGAAATTTACTGACTTGAAACAATCTACATTTCCTTTAGCTGCATGATTAGGAGGATGGGGGGAGGGGGGACGAGAGATGAATGCCTTTTTCAGTGAAATTGTTTACTTTTT